CAGTGACTTCGGATGGTGATAGGTCTTGATCGCTAAGATTCTTTACTGTATGTGTGAGAACTGGCATTTGAGTCTGTGGATTGATCTTATCATACTTGCTCTTCTGTTTTTGTGTTCTTGCTTCGGCTGAGTGAACAGCTTGTTCGTGAGTAACCCGATCCAGTGTTAGCCACAGCTCAGGTTCCAACGATTTTGCAAGAGAGAGATGTAATTTTAATAGTTTTTGGGATATCTCAGCCAAGTTCTTCTTGGTGGCTGAGATTCTGTCTTTGACTAACCTCAACGACGCTTGTCGTAGAATGCCTTTGGCCTGGTTAGAAGATGGAAATGGGTTTTTTAATTGAAAGCATTTCGGTACTACATGATGGTCGCGGCACCGTTTCAGAAATGCTAGGGAGAGCAGTTGGACATGCAAGGACTTCCTGAGTTTGGAAAATAAATTTACCGACCCTAGGATAGCCTCTCCGTGCAGGCTTCTAATACTAGATTTGAGGCTTTCACGGCCATTGATACAATGTCTAGGTATAGCTTCCGGAATGGAGCCGTGTCTTGAATCAGCGATGTGCCGACGTTTCGCAAACGTTGCAATTTGCATCATCAGGGCTGAAAACTCTGATACTGAGCTCCCTTGGGTAAAAGTTGTCCTTATATGCCCTCCTCCCCCCCCCCCTTGTGTAGATGGTGTTAGGGAGTAGGGGACGAGGCTTGAATCCAGCCAATCAGCCAACCAGCTGATCAATTAAAATACGCTGAGAAAAAACGCGTCGAGTATTTTTTCGTCAAAATCGGAGGTGATGAGTGTAAATTGTATAATTACATATAAATCTAATGACAAATTATTATTACTAACTGAATGATGTTCCTATTGACGTAATATTTTGCCATCCAATGGCAAAATATTATACTACTGATCGGATGGTATTCTTATTAGTAAATATGCAATAGTAACTAATATACCATTCATTGAATGATATTCCTACTGGAGTATATCCAATAGTAAAATATTTTATTATTAACCGAAAGATTTTCCTACTGAACTCTTTAAGTAGTAAAATTATTCGTTAATGACAATACCGTTGAGTCCATATGATTTTATCATTAGTCCAAATGATTTTACCACTGATTTCAATGGTAATACTATTAACATTTTTCACGACGGGAATCTATAGAGTTTTCTTTGCACATTGCGAAACAAGTCAACTTTTGTTTGCACTTCTAGCTCAAATATTATTTAATAATAATAGCTTAGGGTATGCGTTATATAAAATATTATTTAATAATAATAGCTTAGCGTATGCGTTATATGGTAGCGGTATTATCTGCACGAGAGAATTTTACAAAAACACAAGATTTGGTAAATATGAAACCCCCGTAATTAATTTCTAAATAATTTTTGAACGAGAAGTGTGCAAACGAAAAGTTTCGACTTGTTTTGTAATGTGCAAACGAAAATCTATGGATTAAGTCAATTTAAATTTAATTTGCTGAAGGTTGGAGAGCTAGTATAAAGATAGCCCTCCTAAATTTGTTTTTTTAATAACTTTTAAATGCAAAATGTAAACGAAAATACTGAGGAGTATGTATACATGTGCAAACAATATGTAAATGATTGACGTGTAGAAAGTTTTTTTTCAAAAGTTGGGGGCTAACTTAACAAGGCTCATTGCCGAGTCACCCGAAGCCTCAAAATATTTTTCTGTTCGGGCAACACATCGCTTGAAAGAAAGGGCAGGTGAAAGAGAACACGATAAGATCCGCCGCTGACTTGTATCTGGCAACTGAACGGTGATGAAATAAGAACAGATATAAAAAGACTCCTCGTCTTTATCTAACGAATTCCTCTTCTCGACTTCGCACGGAATCCAACTATACCTAACATGGAACAGAACGATTTTTACTATGTGATATAAACAAGGTTCTGGTTCCTATTGTTGTTGGCTTTACCATTGTTCTCGGTTCCGTGGGTAGAACGCTTAATTAGAGGAAAAATGTTAGGTGTAAAAAATATTCTGAGTTTGAGACTTATAACCTAGGAGCCTGGTTTACATCGTGCACTTGATAAGCGTACTAAATAGTAACTTTCTATTAAATAATCTTAATATTGACAATGCATATCAAGGACGACGCATTCAATCGATACAATACGCGTCTTATTGATGAGTATTATATCAACTTAATATAACCGTTGTTTATATACATCGTCGATATTAGGATTATTTAATAGAAAGTTACTATTTAGTACACGTATCAAGTGCACAATGTAAACCAGGCCAGTAACTTTCTAGCCAATGCTAGAGGCTTGAGAGGCGAGATAAGACTGACTGCCCAACTACTGCCTAGCGGTGTTCTTGTGGTCTGGTTTTTAAGGATGTATCTGAGATACAATCGGTGACAAAAATGCTTGAAAAACGAAGAATTTGAATATCTGCTTTAAACCTAATGACAACTGATATAAATAGTGACTAACATAATATATTTCTTGCTTGAAAAGTTATTTTTTATTTTCTCAGCAATTTATTACTTTTATTTGGTTTTTTTTCAACTTTCTATAATAAAACTTTTGGCAGGGAAAATGCTCTGAATTCAATTTTAGAAATTAAGTTTCGTATTTATTTAACATTAATATCCATCAGTGCAAAGGAAAAAAAAGTAATTGGGATAAGTTAAAACAGGTAAATATGCATTGTCTGAACAATAACTATCAATATTATTTGTTGTTATTATAAGTATTTAATGAAAAAAGTTAAACGTAGTAACAGCGTACCATGTAGTTTGTGGCTTGTACGTTGGCAGTAATGCACTATGCAGACAGGTTAGGGTACGTTCAGATTCCCTACTCGGGTGCACTCTAATACTAGAAGTGCTATAGTATATGTAACATATACTATAGTGTTTCTAGTAATAGAGTGCACCCGGGTAGGGAATCTGAACGCACCCTTAGATGAAACAATAAAAGCCTCAAATTTCACACTTATCCTATTGTTCATCGAAATTATTTAATTTGTCTTGTCCTCTGCATGAAACAATGCAGACAAAACAAGAATTTACGATGTAACTTTATCATACTGATTTATAGGTTATTCGTTTGATACACCAGCTGATTGTAACGTTGCCGCATCTCCACAGTCCAGTTACTAACTCCTTACGACAATCGCAAAATTGTCACAAATAAAAATTAATTTCTCTGAAATCGTGTTGTGAAAACTAATCAAATTCTGCAAATTCCGATAATTCAGGATCTATATGTATAAAAATATTACTAAATTTTTGGTACTATTTCTTCTATACGTTTTTACTCATTATATTCAGGAAAGTTGCTTTTGCCATAAGAACACGTGTAAAATTAACGTAATAATTACTCTTCAACGGTTTAGTGAATCAACTTGAAATTTTTTTCAGTATATTATAGATAATTAAGGAAAAGTTACCCAAAGTTTTATCAAATTGGTACTATTTTTATAGCTCACATACATCCTTAAAATGGGATGTTATGATGATGATACCATTTAGGATATTTTCCCTGAAAAAAGAACGATTCCTGACTAGAGTCCGGACTAGGAAAGTCAGTACGTTCCTAGTGTGTTGAATTTCTGGAAATATTCAAGTAAATGAAATAAAAAAGAAATGTTAGCATCCGAGTTTCTCAGTCGGTCAGATGTGATAAACTATACTATTTGTTACGACCATACTACGTTACGAACAATCATACTATTAGCGTGTTCGAATGGCTCTGGGTTAATCGACCCTGGGTTATTAAAACCAAGTTCATTGGTCGAATATTTTCGTATAAATTTTGTGATTGGCTAATGAAGTCTTGTAACGTCAATAATCGCTCTCGGAACGATTAACCCAAAGCCATTCGAACACGCTAATATGTTTCGAAACAAATCATTAATATGAAGCTTTATTACGAATAATCATTATGTTACGAAACAAGTTATTGACTTTGTTTACACGGCAGCTTAAAACCGGTTTAATAACTATCGTAGTTAGTGAACTCTTAAATTCGATTGGAGTATATTTCTAGATCTAAAAGAATATACCAATCGGATGCGAGACGGATTTTTTACTAAATACGGTTGTTACTAAACCGGTTTTAAGCTGCCGTATAAACTTAGTCATTGATATGAAGCTTTAAAGTTGTCATACTGCCGACATCCGTATTATCCGATGTACATTGCGAGGAAAACCTCACGATTAGTGTTTCTCATAGACGAATGTAAAATTGTCGCGAGTACGATTGTGTACTTATACGAGGAATTGATTCATAAATATAAAAAACATTTCACTCAGAAAATATTGAAGCATTATTACTTTTAAAAGCAATATTTCGCACTAAAATACTTATTCCTGTAGGAGAATGCCGTGCGTTTTAGCACGCGCATAAAATCGGCCCTTTCCAGGACCATTATAATGTACAAATCTGACCTTCCTACAGTGCACATTGGATAATGCGAATGCTGGCGATATGACAACCAGCGGTATTTAAAGCTTCATATTTCGAGAATAACTTGTTTTAAAGTTATGGTTCAATTTTTGGTTTTAAGTTATGGTTAACTTATGATTGAATTCATCTTGGAATGAAGTACCATATACTGGAGTTTAAAATATTGTGTGCCATTTAAAAAAAATTGAATCAAAAATATATGAAATATGTGAAGTAGAGGAATGACGATGATATCATATAACCATAGGATATCGTAACTTTCCCTTTATATACCCTACAAATTTCTCTTTCATTTAAACAATTATTTTCTAACACTAACGTATACAAGTTATTCAGGTACATAATTCAGGTATATAATTTTATTTCTGACACACGTACATGCATACTGTGATATAATTCTTGTTCGATTACATAGTATTATAAAATATAACTTGATAAAAAATATAGACAAAATAACGTATGAAACGTAAAGTAGCGCATTAAAGACAAAAAAATTAAAAATTTTATTTTATTTACATATTTGTGTAATTAAACAAACTTTTTTATTTGACAGATAAAAGGAATCTGCAATGAAAAGGAGACGAAGCAAATGTAGTCAAATCATCATTGAATTATCAGATTCGGATGACGAAAATCATAAGACATTTTCAAAATCAGTAAATAAAAGCTCTATAATGGAAAAAAGTAAAATGAAAGAAAAAGTTAAAAAGAACGATGTAAAGCTAATGAAGAAGATAGAAAAAACAAATGCACGGAGTAAAATTCATAGATGTTTTGATGAAGAAGATTTGGAAACATTTAATAAAAAGAAACGAAAGCTAGAAGTAATGTCATTTACAAATTTCGATATGGAACTATCGCAACAGAAACAGAAAAAAAACCCAAATATAAATATCAATGAAAGATTAAGTCCTAACTTTGGACGATCTATGGAATGGACCGATGTTGATTATATAAGTGAGATAAATAACGTGGATAGACACATTACAGAAAATGTAGTAAAACTTTTTAAGGAGGATAATACTATACCTTTCATTGCAAGGTACAGGAAAAATATGACCGGATCTATGGAACCAGACAAATTGAGAGCGCTTAAGAATAGTTTCGACGAAGTCAAGGTTATTAAGCATCGTGCCACAACAATTATCAAAGCCATTGACAAATTAGGAAAGTGGTCACCAGAAATTCATTCTATTATAACATCTACAAAATCTCTTATTGATCTTGAATATATTTATTCTTCATTTAAATCAACAGCAAAACGATCTCTAGCAGAAAAAGCAAGAGAATTAGGTCTGTTGAGTGTTAGTGATGCTATTTTACAAGGACAAAAGATACCGTTGTTGGCATCTTTAGTAGACAAACGAAAAGAAGGTTTACGAAATGAGAAAGAAGTGGAAGATGGTATTGTACATATAATAGCAGACGTTATTAGTAAAAATAAAGACATTTTCGAGAAAATAATTACTTTACGAGAAACGTCTGCCATAGAAATACAAACAAATCAATATAAAACAAAAGAAATGTTGAAAGATAAATCAAAAAATATGATGGACAAGCAGAAGTATGAGATGTATTTCAATTTTAAGATGACTGAAAGAAACATTAAGCCTCATCAAATATTAGCTATTAATCGAGCTGAATCTAAAAAAATTCTTAGTGTGAAAATCATTATTCCAGATACTTTCGAACAAGCATTTAAAAAATATTGTTTGTCGCGTTTCGCATTTGCAGCGAAAACAACAGAATTGCACATGCATTTACTGAGCAAAAGTGTCGACTACGCTTATAAAAATCTGTTTAAGCGAATGGTGACACGTCGTATAAAGGCTGAAATGAAAATTAGAGCAGAGACAGCATCCATAGAAGTTTTCGCGAATAATGTTAAGCAATTGTTTCTAGTTTCTCCTATCCGAGGTAAAATTATTCTTGGTATAGATCCAGGTTTCAGTCACGGATGCAAACTCGCTGTTGTGTCGGAATGCGGCGATCTTCTCGATACCAGTGTAATATATCCTCATACAAGGTCCAAGGCATCTTATAAACATTCAATTGATGTATTAGTAAATCTAGTAAATAAGTATAAGTGCACAATATTAGCATTAGGGAATGCTACAGCGTGTAGGGAGACCGAATTATTTCTCAAAGAAATAATAAAATCAAAGGCGTTCGGTTTCTTGGATGTAACGTATACCATTGTCAACGAGGCTGGATCTTCGATCTACAGTTGTAGTCCTGAAGCAAAATCTGAGTTTGCAAATCTTGATGTAAATTTCATATCAGCTATTTCTATAGCAAGACGTCTGCAGGATCCATTAGCAGAATTAGTCAAAATAGATCCGAAGCATTTAGGAGTTGGAATGTATCAGCACGATCTGCCGGAAAAACAATTAATGAATGCGTTAAACGAAGTAAGTACAAATTTCTTATTTTTAATAATAGTAATAACAATAATAAATTACATGTTATAATTACATACTAAATTATAACTATAATTATAATTATAAAATTCTCTAATATACGGGTGTCCCACCTAACTTGACCATCTTAAATATCTCGTTTATGTTTTATGATAGGAGGATGCCAAAGGGGGACATTATTCAATTCGGGGAGACAAATACTGCAAAAAACAAGAAATTTTTTCAAGTTCATATTTTTTAGGATTTCAAAGTCCTTATCTTTCTTTTTATATGAGATTACATATTTTTATCATCGCGATAGCTAATGTCAAGACGAATCCAACGACTTACAATACTATGATCTTTACGTGACCTTGAGTATGAAAAAATTCACAAAAACTGTACAAAGGAAGTCATATCATCTGGTAATCATAATTTTATATCATCTGGTGTTGTCGGAATGTTAAAACCATAGGGAGATTAATAATAATAAATTTATTTTAACAAGTGTTCTAAATGATGTTTATTAACTTCAATACATTTATGTAAACTAAATTATCGTAAGAGTTGAACTATTTCCAAATTATTCTTATGTTTGAAGTAGGTGAACTGGCATTAAACCGACGAATTACTAAACATGTTCCTTGTAACCTCAATATCAACATATCTTAGTAAGTTGTATTTACATTTATTAGTCTCCTTTCGGTTACGATTCAGAAAGTTAAAATAATATTTTTTGTTATTAATCTCCCTGTGGTTTTAACATTGCGACAACATCAGATGATATGAAATTATGATTATCATCAGATGATATGACTTTCTTTGTACAGTTTTTGTGAATTTTTCATATTCAAGATCACGTGAAGGTCATAGTATTGTAAGTCGTTGGATTCGTCTTGACATTGGCTATCATATCGCGATGATAAAAATATATAGTCTCATGTAAAAAAATGACAATAACCTTGAAATTCTAAAAAATATAACCTTGAGAAAAATTTCTTGTTTTTTACAGTATTTGTCTCTTCGAACTGAATAATGTTCCCCTTTTGCATCCTCCTACCGTAAAACATAAGCGAGATATTTAAGATAGTTCTAACCAAGTTAGGTGGGACACCCTGTATATTCTTCACTCAAAAAATAATGTAGGATTAGGTTCATCAAAAAATTACTAAAAAAAAGTTAATAAATAATAAATATCTTGGTAAATATTTTATAAATAAATTAGTAAATCTAAATATTCTATAAACTTTCAATGAAAACTTGACGTATTTAAATGTCGCAATGCAATCTGTGCATGGCGAGTGCTCTTGATTTTTATTTTTAATCCTTTCTAAAACTTATTAGTGCAATATAATTGAAATAAACTAAAATATTTTTACATATGTCTACAAATGCTAAATTCCGAAACTTGTATATCAAACATAATTTATGCAATATTATGTTTATATTTTAACAAAAAATGGGTAATCTACAGAAAAACTTAGACAGCAAATATTTTTACATATGTCTACAAATGCTAAATTCCGAAACTTGTATATCAAACATAATTTATGCAATATTATGTTTATATTTTAACAAAAAATGGGTAATCTACAGAAAAACTTAGACAGCACAAATTCGTTGTCAACGAGGCTGGATCGTGCTTTAACGTTGTCAACAACAAGATAAGTGTTCTCATTGAAGAAATTTGAAGTGCTTTTTATATTATTTTCAAATGACTATTCAAAGTCAAACCAATTGCATCATATAATGTGCTCTTCTTCTCGCCCCCCCCCCCCC